TTACGTCATAAAGTCTGAAATTTTAAATTGCTATTAGATAAAAGCGCCAAGGTTCGCAATGTGCAATATCAATACAACCCAGTGGTATAAGCGAAGTGAAAGCATTGTCGATAAAGCAATAGCCAACGCCAACAATTGGTCACATGGAGTCGTAAAAACGTGGCGGCCGTGAACAATGACTTCCGACTTTAATTTCTCTGTACCACGTTCATGTATGGGTAAAAGCGTGATTTTCCACAATGATGCAAAATGCAGTTTACACGATAATATATTTTTATGGAAGTGAGGGTAAACAGGCATATGGTTCATGATAACTACCAACGTTAACATTTGCAACAAAATTTTTCTTTCCTGGCCAGGGAACAAAATATAGAAATCATGGACTTTTGTGATTTTTTCTAGTCAATAATCTTAGAGAACTATTTTCTCAGCAGCAACATTCTACAAATGCAACTAAATACATTTTTACAGTAACAATATCAAATTCGCAAAAAAATACATCCCAATACTAAATTAACAATCGTTCAGCAACCATGTTCACATCCTGAAAGGTTTTGGAAATCATTCGTCTCTTCAAACCTGAATGGAATATCAATTTTATTAATTGATAAACAACTGTCCTTGAAAGCCTTTACGACGCATGAACATAGCACATTTATGGCGTTGACAATTATCATACAAAACAATTACGCAATTGCAGTACACGCACGTAAGTCCTTGAATGTGTTACTACTATACCCACTAAAACTTTCCGTGTAAATCTTACAGTTGAAAAATCCAGAGTATTTCGATAAAAATATAAGCATTGAGGCCCGGCAAGCGAAAGGTTGTGGGTTTGATTCCCTTCGTTCAGGAATTTCAATTATTTCAAGTTAATTTAAAAATAAACAGAAACATTGCACTTGAACTCCTGTGTAGAATTTAACTTGACTACCAATCCAAGCAGTGTATGTAGGCCACGATGATCCCAGGAGAAATTTTTATTGCCAATGGGTTCAAAATTGATCAGAATTTCTTTCCTTCAGACAATGATTCAATAAAAACAGTTAAATGTTGTTGCCGTTTTCTACAATAATGGTGGCGTTTTATAAATATCACCGTGTGCTGTTTTGAAAGGTGTTACCTCGTTATCATTACCCTTTCAAAACAGGTCGCCTGTTGAACAGACACTGTGAAATAAAACGATAACCGTACGTACAAGTGACGTTAAAAACAGTTTAATTTAAAGAACAATCTTGTATTAAGTTGGCCGCCTTTGAACTTCTTCATCAGCTGTATAAGGCCTCAGCCTCGAACTTAGCGGGCAGCGGGGCGGCGGCGGCGCGGGAGCGGCAGGATCTTATGCGTAAAATCAAATGGACCGGTTCTCGAAAACAGCGGCGCGGCAGCGGGGCGGCAGCGTGCAACGAGCGGGCAGCGGCGAGGGAGCGGGCATCGAGCGGGGAGCGCACTCCTTCTTTTGCCCACAATAAATCGAGCGTTAGGAATAAATTTGAATCGAAATAAAATTGTCGCCGTTGTTCAGACATTTAGTTTGCGAATAAAAACAAATATCTCGACAACACAACCCCGAACACAACAGTTCGCCGCTAAAGCGCCGCGCGAGCTGCCCGCTTGTTTCGAGAACGGGTCTGCGTTGCCCGCCCCGCTCCAGCGCCGCCGCCGCTCCCGCCCCGCTGCCCGCTAAGTTCGAGGCTGAGGCCTAACTTAGCTTAGCTTTAAGCATAGTTTCCGCTCTCTTTGATCTGTCTAAGAAGTATAATAATAGTCTTTATTTATTTACTAGCTGTCTTCGTAATTCGTACCGCCTATGTTCATCAGAAAGAATTGATGAAATATTTTTTCGAATTGCTCCGGTACTTTCGGAATAGGTAACTATAAACTAACAGAATAAATAATACTTTATCAATGCAAACAAATATCAATAATTTGTTAAAAATTATCTTTACCCGACTGCGCCAGAAGGAGGGTTATTATGATATTAGTGTAGATTCTATCACGTCACGTATGAAATGATGGTGATGAGAACTTAAAAAACATTGAATTGCCTTATGAAAGTATCTTAGTTCAATAAAAGCCGGGAAGCAGGTGAAATTCAATGAATAATGATTATTCACAGACATACCGGGACAGGTGCAGTCAATAAACGCTTGTAAAAACTAAATATTAAACAGTCTCAGTTACATGTTCTAATATGATCATTAGGCAAATTCAATAAGTAATCAATAAATCGCTGTATTATTAATATTATTTATTACGCTTTTTGAGGAAACACGCCCCAGATTATAATATTGAAATCCGGTTTCAAATCCTGCTAGTTTTCTATTATTAATATTGACATGATTAATTAACAACTGCATTTAAATACAATTTTAACTTTTTCTTCTTTTATAGCTGAACATTATTTAATAACAATCTCATAAAGAAAGTAATAATCGTTATGATGACTCTCTATTTTGTTAATGAATATTTTAATGAGTGTATGAATAACCACAAGATTAAAAAATAATAAGATGGCGAGATTTCTAATAATTTCTTAGTTAAAAATAGGTTTCATTTATGATGTTATCAGCGTATTATAATTAATTATTTGGTAATAATAGATTACTATTAGAGTGGTTCAGAACAGGAAACAATTGTGTAACTTACATAATACATATTTTAATGCCGGATTTTGATAGCAAAGATTTAGAGTACCGGATTTGTTATAGCAACTTTATAACCACTGATAAGTAGTATCGGAGAACTAGTTTCCAAGTATAGGAAACGAAAGGCGTTACCTGTATACGATCAAACAAGTTGTACCAATATTTGGCGACGACCCACGAACAGTTCATGTTACGAAATGCTTATACAAGTGCAAGATTTTACGAGGAGAGTGTTTAGAATGTTATGTAAAGTTATAAGCGTAAGATTCAAATCGGAGTAATTAACTTTCTAGGTTACAAAAATACGCTGCTACAGCGGTTGAAGAAAGTGAGTTTGCACGAAAAGGTGTAACATTATGGAAGACATTAAGGTCGGATGTTTGCTTAGAAGTCACGAATGGGATTTTTCCGCTTAACAGTTAGATCCACTTTTAGAAACAGGCAGGTTTGTATGCCGTGACGACTTAGAAATGGATGGGTTGTTGATCGACTTAATGATGCGTGACATCGTCGAACTTAGCAAACATGTTTAATGTAACATATCAATTAGGGATGTTTTAAATGTAGGTATGAGTAGGTACTAACATAGAACGCGAACAAGGGTTGTGCGGCTATGCATTTACAAAAGCTGCACAGTGGTTTGAAAGTACCCACTGCCTCCTCTAAATAGCTCACTAAGTACTGATTGCCACTGTAGCTATGTTATCTATCAATCATAAAGAAAGATACGGCTAAAGTGCCTAACATGCTAGATTAATGCTACAATGAGTGCCTACTTGTGTAGACGCTTGTTAAATGTTCTGAGTAAAGTAAAACTAAGACAATAAAGTTTCTTTAAAAGAGAAAAATCGAGTTAGATCCGTAGTCCGTGACTGTTAACTGGCGCATGGAGGATATTTCGTCGTGGCAGAACAGTTTATTGACCTCACTGGTTTTTGAAACCTTACTGATTTTGTGTGGTTTGTAGACTGTGAGATAATTCATTATTTAAAACGCTGACTCGGAGGTTTCTGATTCAGAAACCTCCGAAAACTTCTTAAAAAAAGGCTTCAGAAATTCTGAAGCCTTTTTTTATGAAGCATTTTTTTTTTACCAGATTGGTTTAGGCAGAATGAAATGTTTTACTCCAAGACAATAAGCTTTATGGAGACCATATTTTTGAAGCGAGATTTTTTTTACCAGACTACTAAGTAATACGCCTCAAAGCATCTTTGAAGAGCAGTTTTCAACCAGTAAAATAAACCTTTGTGGATTGCAATAATAGTTAAATGTTTATAAAATATTTCCAAGATTGCAAAAGTAGGTACTTTGATTTTAGATAAAAATAATAATTTAGATAATATACTAAAGGAAATAAGAAAGATGTTTGGCGAAGATTACAATTAGTTAACGTAAGCTTATCAAAGACGGAAAGTAAGTTTCCGACACACTGCCTCAAATAAACAGTGGGTTCTAACCGCATTATGACTTGATTTATGCTGTTGCATGCTATTATAGCAAGTGTGTAAGGCACAAGTAGCACGAGACGTCAATATTGCGCTAACGTTTGCGGCCTCTTTATGTCCTAATAAAGCTATTGTTCCCAACCGGTGTGAATTTCATTACAGCGTGCATTTCTGAATGAATGACTATGTTAACAAAAAGCTGTAATAGTCAAAACTAATTTGGCCGTGTTCTCTTTGCTTGATTTCGCACAATAAAGTAGGTCGTTTTAGGCCGATGGCCAACGTAACTGGCGATTTCAAGTCTAACATAGTTCTCTGACAAGATTTATTATCGGCATCAGCCATGTAAGACGCTTCAACATTAATGTGTTTCTAAGGCACAAGCGGATATGATGTATTTGGGATGTCAGTACTATTCAAACACTTTTATCCGTGACTGACCACTGTAACGTGACTTATCTTTGTAAATCTTACTCGTCCTCATTCGTAAATAGGAAGCGTTGTGATTGCGTCTAGAAATATGGCTTTGTCAAGTTTGTATGCAATCTGCGAGAGATTAGAGCCATTTAGAAAGGTAATGACTTAACGGATATAAGGCACCAAAATAGATTTCGTAAGACCTTCATAATTAGATGACTAATAATTCTATACCAATCTAATGTATTTGTTGTGGTTTTTTAAATCGGTTTAACTGTAGATAGTGCTTAAAGTTTAACTTGGTATTAAAACAAAAGTTATGTGATTGAATTTAGGCATTTGTCCAGGCAGTAGATATCATTTGGTTGAAACGCACGAACGAAATCGAAGTTTGATCCTGAAGTGTCTAGCGTTAGCGCGATGTAAATACGCACAGCGCCATCTCTTGCCCAAAAAAGGTTTTAACTTCTAGTATATTCAACAAACTTACCCTGTAAACTAGGTGCAGAGGTAGGCGCGGCGGGCGGGGGCTGTTGAGGGGTGGGGGCGGGCCTCCGTCGCCTGGGAACGTGGAGCCCCGGCGCGGACGCCGCCCGGGTCGCCGTCCGGAAACCGGGCGCGCGGTACCGGGCCGATTTGACCGGACCGGCCGGGACTGTGTTCGTTCCCGTAATTGACGGCAGGCGCGGAAGGGAGCCTGCTCTTTCTTCTTCCTCCGACTGAAATGTTAATGGAATGTTAAGTTCGTTCATGATCTTCATTAAATGACGTCACACATTGAACTTTTGATCCAGTTGCCACGCCCATTTGCCAAAGCTAATGTTAGATGTCAAATAAGGCGCAGTTCAACCGGATCTGAAAGCCTGATAGTGTGATCAGCAAAAAATCGACGAAACTTGTTACGTTTGGTTATTATTATTCTTATATTGGTTATCGAAGTTAGATTTAAAGATTTTTATATCTACGAATATCTCAAAATGTTTACTACTTCACATCAAATTAAGGAAATCTTAACTAAAAACTACATGCAGACAAGTTGTTGTAAGCCAATACCTATTCAAGACAGGTACAATTACAACGTCACCTTAATTTTAGTTCCCGCTACAACACGACTTCCAAGTGGCGTCGTGTCTCATGCATATGCCGTCTGTTTACACATTTGTAAAGATGCCTTTATAGCGGCAAGTTGGTACGTGGCCAAACTGTTATAGCGCTTCGCACATGTTAGGTACAAATGACGGCACGTCAAGGTAACCACTGTGGGTTCTTGTGCAGTTGTAATAGAGGCGAATTTGCAACAAAAATGGGTAGCCTGATGTGCTGTCGTGTGTACATTGAACGTTTAGGAAATCAGTGTGATTTTTTCATTAGTTTCATCAAAGTTTATTTACTTGATAAAAGTTAAGCAATCCAATTAGTATTGCGAGATTTTTGTTTTATTTTTTGGCTTACTCGATGGTACAGCTACTTACTGACTCGGTATAAATCAAGGCACGGTGAAGCCTTATTTCAAAAGCTTTGAAGCCAAATAAGAACCTATTAATTGGATATTATTAGTATTACAGCAATGTTGGCGAAAAGTTACGGTTCTTTAATATATTATGACGAAATTGGCAGGAAAAATGTAGGTATTCGACTTATCTAAGGTTGAGTTGCGCCACCTTACTCTAATCGTAACTATAACCATAACCGGTGTATTTTGCATGGATTTTAACAGATTTTTGACGTTTGTTAAAGTTAAAGTAAGATGGTGCAACCCAGCCTTATAATGCCAGTAATTACAATAGGTACTCGTGAAACCAGCCTACTGTTATTAATCCTAGAATGGCGAAGATAGTGTTTATAAATAAATAAGCGTCGACCAAATCCAATTAACCAGCCTGCTGAGGCAGAAACTTCTTTATACTTTTATAGACATGACCTTGCTGAGCCGTTCTTATTTCTGTTATAACGATACAACAGACGTTGTTAAATTGAGTAAGAAAGTTGTGACACATGTATTTACTTTACTTGGTTTTGCTGTGTGTAAGTGTGTTCTCTATTACTATCACTTTCACATGTATCTTATCGAAATGTTTGATTTTCTTTTTGATGTCTACATAGATTACATCAGATAGATACATTCCATTCTGATATCAGTTTGAGATAAGATAATGTAAACAAATATTGTGAAAAGTTCATGGATTGCAGTACAAAAGTAATTTATTGGTTTGCGTTTGCGGTTTAAAAATTTAATCCTGTATTACTTAGCATTCTAGATGTTTGCGCGTTCAGCTGTAGTTCAGCCTCAAATAGATTGGTGATTGAATAAGTATTACACAATGCTTGTAAAGTATTTGATACGCAGTGAAACATTAAGAAATCAATTAATATGATTATTTGAATTAATTTCTACGACGACTATAGCAATTAATTGTTATAATAAAAGGAAATTTACCTCTGCATCGGGTGCCGATGCTCGCCGCCTCCCGCGCCACAGGCGGTCCTCACTGCCTCCAATAGCCCCACAACTCCTCGAGTGCGACCTCTGAGCGGCCAGCTCCACGCCCGCCGGCGACCGCCGCGCCTCTCCCGTACCTCCAAGCGTCCCTCGGGAATCCGCGGCCAACAAAGCCGACTCAAAACTACCCCGCCACGAAAACCGTTCACAGTCACTCGCAACACTCCCTCTACTCGCCGCCGCTTCCAATATATCATGAGATCGACTACGCGCCAGCGCTCCAGGCTCCGATGCACTATCATCGTCGGTACTCGGAGAGGCACCCGCCGACACCTCGTGCATTAACGCCACCAACCGACCTCCTATATGCCGCATCACTTTCCCGAACAGCGGCGGCGAGCCCTCCCCGGCTCTGCCCAGCGTTGCCGCCAATCTTCGGTATGCACCAGCCGCGTCCCGCTCCAATGAACCCGCCTCGCTGTTACCTTTATCGAACTCATCGATTATTTCGCGACAACTGTCCGATATTTGTTTTCTCAGTGCGGATCTGTTTTGTGTGCCTTCCAAATCGGAACCGGCGTAGTCAGATGAGTCATAGGAGTCGCTCCACGTATCTTCGCTTGATAAATATTCTACAATTTCACGCACTTGCTCGTCACGGATACCCGGTACTGTTTTCATTAATCTTGTTAGTTCGCTTTCAAAATATAACAACTGTGGTGGTTTAGGCGGTTTAGAGCTTTCGGAATTTGACGATGCCGGTGTCGATGTTCGAACGTTGTTTGAGTTTATCATTTGTTTGAAAAACTGACGCATTTTTGTCATCATAAGATTCGTTTCTTCGTCAGACGACCAGTTATTAAAGCTATCTTTACGAGTCAGTGGGCTTGGCGGTGGACGTGATGACGGAGGGCTTTCTATTCGCTCCTCGGTATCTGTTCTCATTTCTTCAACGATTTCCTCTAGCTCTGTTTTAGGTTCGTGAGATCTAGCAAAGTCTGAGCTAGAATCGCCGTTCCTTAACAAGTCATCACAGCTACCGACGAAGCCACTGTCTCTACTCGTTTGTTTTTTCGATTCAGATAATTCAGATCCAAGCGGTGGGAACTCAGTGTGAGGTGTCGTCCTGCCGTCTTCGCCTTCCGATACCGACCTTGTATCTTCGCGAGTTTCCTCTGTAAACTCTGCTGATTGGCGACGTTCGTCAGCAGGCGATCCCCGGGTCTTTTTGTTTTGTTTCTTTCTCTTAGATTCATTTTGCATATCTAACCTTTCAGATGAATCATGCCTGTCCTCGGTTTCTGTACTAGACCCGTCCGACACCTCCTGTGCATCTTGTGATGGTTCTTCGCCTGTTAGTAAGTTATCCAAAGAGGATGAATGCGACCGCGGGGCCCCTCGAGCGCGTACAAGTCGCTTCCGCCTCTGTTCTGGGCTTTGTTTACCTTCACTGTCACTCCCAACACTGCCTGAACCATCCGAATCACGATTTTCTTGATTAAATCCCATGAACCCGGACAAGAAATACTTTTCCAAGCGCGAGGACACCAAGTCGTCATTATCACTACTATTTCGTTTTGGTTGCTCACTATCGACAATCGATTCACCACCTTCACTACACACACTTGACGTTTCAGACACCGCATCCTCATCGTCGCGAACGTTCCTGCCATCGCCCAGTCCAAAGAAATAGTACTTTTCTAGTTCCGTAGCTGAAATAGGTCGCGGTTTCTTGGTCGTATGTTCCGTTTCGCTTTCTTCGCAGCTTTCTTCGACGATCGTATGCAAGGTGAAGTCTAGCGATCGTCTACAGTAAGCGAAATCATCCCCTCGTGTGGGTAGAGTGGCTTCATCCTCCGAGTCGGAATCTGAGGGCGAAGTGACCTCGTTCTCGTCATGGCTGATGTCCTCGACCCACGAGTCGTCGTCTGCGAGCCCCTCCTCGAGGCACACAACCGCCGAGAGCGTGTCGGCATTGCTAACGACAGTCACTCCGCCCGAAGGCTGCGCTGCTTCGTCGTCGGATAATCGTTCGTCGTTTTCGTCTTGCGTCGTGCCTTCGGGTTCGTTTTGGGAGTTAGTGTGGTGCACTGTGATGTCGCGCATGAGCCGCGTCGTGTCCGACGTGACGACGGAGACGCGGTCGTGCGTTATCATTACGCGGCTCGTGAACCGCGCGGAGGCGTCCGCACGGGCGGTGCGCGAGCGGCAAACTGTCGCGTCAGGTGTGCAAGCGCTCCCCTCCGCTTCCGAGCTAACCGGCCGCGGACCGTGCATTTTCTCCTCATCTTGCTCCTCTAATAATTCTTTCTTCAATAGTTCACTAAGCGTACGCTCGATACCTTTGAACAGGTCTATTTCTGCTACGGGCGCTGAACTCGTGGTATTATTTTGCCCGGGTTCCGGTGAAGGTGCTAATTTTGATAATAAACCGCACGAAGCTTGGCTAGAAATTAAGTTTTCATTGTGTTTCTCATCGGGCAATTCGACCGAAACTTTTACTTTCATATCGCTTTCGGTATTATCTAATGAATCGTATTCTTCATTTTCTGATAAACACGATGGCGGATTAGGGTCATTATCGTTCTTATTATCTGTGTGATTTGTGCTACAATGTGCATTAAAACTATTGAATTCTTCGCAGGTTTCGCTTTGTAACATATTTTCATCGCAAAACTTAAAGAATTCTGACCTTTTCGCTGCATTTTCGTTGCTTGATTCCTCACTATAATTACCATACGGTATAACAGGATAGTCTTCTGTGAAATTGACCGATTCTATAAGCATTATGTTTGGGTTTTCATTGTCATTATCATTACTCTGTGAACTATTGTCATTGGATTCGGCACTAACATTTATTTCATTCTGTACATCCACCGCGATAGCTTCTTCCAAGTTGTCTGATTTTTTGTCGAAGGAGTCGTCGCAGTCAATGCCACTGCTGTCTGCATTATCTTCTAAATCAGATGAAGAGTCCGCCGGGTTCACAACAAACACGCGTGAGAATCGGCCGCCGCCGCCTCCAGAATCATCTGAGTCCTCGTCAGAAGTCGCGGGCTCATCGGGCGCACCGCTCGTCAGGTCATAGCTTCGCCGGGCGACTCCTCCCTCGGAGTCGCTCGAATCATCAGACTCGTTAGATGAATGGAAAGCCTTCTCCGCATCCAGGTGATCCGGCATAGCGTCTATTTGCCCCGATAAAACCGAAATCGAGTCCTCCTCGGCGATCACTTTGATTCCAACTGACGTATCGCATTCGTCTGACCGCTCGATATTGTTATCAACCTTATCGCTATCGGAGGCCTCAGGCAACTGTGACGCTTCAGACTGTATCGCTTTATCGGTCCGTTCTTTAGTAGTCATCGCGAGTTTTTGCGTTTGCGTCGCGGCTGCGTTGGCGTTGGCGGTGGCAGTGGCGGCGGCGGTGACGGCGACGGCAGCGGCCGTGGTGAGCCTAGCGAATGCTGCGGCATCTAGAGGCGGGAAGCCGGGGTAGGTGTTCCAGTGAGGCGTGGGCGGCGTTTGTGTGGGGAACGCGAGTAGGGCGGGCCAGAGGGCGGCCGGGACGGGTACGGGTACAGGTACGGGTACGGCGACTATTCGGGGTTCAGCGCCGCAGGAGCAGGGTCTGGGACAGGCGGGCGGAATGTGGCGGGGGGGCGGGGGCAGCGCCGGCGCCGCGCCCGGCTCGAAGTAGTCCCAGTCGCAGTCGTCGGGCGCGGGCGGCGCGGCGGAAGACGCCGTGGAGGAGGAGTCTTCGGTGTCCTCGCGGCACGAGGAGTCCGAGCTGAGGAACACGAGGCGGTAGTCCTCGGGACGCATGCGACCGGCCTCCGGTTCGCTGGCCTCGCCCGGTTCACTGTTGACGCCCCACTCTGTAAATAAAAAAATAAATTCATTTTTCAACTGTCACACCATGCATAAAGTAACCTAAAGGATAAGCACTCCGAGTGTGTTACATGTGAAGTTATATAGGTCTACAGGTAGACTGGATTAACACGGGTAATTCGAACCCGCAACCGCAACTGGCACTGTAGTCCGGTACTCAAACCACCAGGCCCGACTGCTACAATCGCAAAAAGAAAAAAAAACTTGGTATGTAGAGTAAATGTTTTCAAAGACTAACACTTAACACATAATTAATGAAGTTAAACCTCATGCCTAATATAATGCAACAATACCTCATCGTTTTTATAAGCTTGTTACGCGTTCACAACACAATAGATTTAATAATGAACCTAGCGTTTTCTCACAAGCAACAAGTGCCGGCAACGTGGACTCTAGTCGGTTATGATTCGCAGGCGTTTCATTCTATGAGCCCACGCAATGCGCAATAGTGATTATTATGATCTACCTACATCAATTAGATAAATAAATATTGAGGTAATTTAATTAATCAGGAATTAATTAGTCATGAGCTAATGAATAAGGCTCTTCCTACATCTGAGAAATAAATACGATTAATGATTAATTAAACATAACTACAGTTCCTAATTAACAATAATTATGATATTATAATTATGATAATAATTATGATGTGCTAGCACACCTTATATAAACTTTAAAATAATACGTTACCTACCTACCGAAAAACACATAAAAAAGTCGTGAACAATGTTTATTATTAACTACAACAAAATATTAAGACGCGCTTTTGAGTCCTATCTGACATAAGGCATGAAATATTAATGAAGCAAAGTGAGTGTTTGAGTCTGGAAAACAACGTGACAATCTTTGATTGTCCCGTTCGGGACCTGTCTGGTATTGAATTTGACTTTACGTTTGGAATATTTTTGGTGTTAATGGGATTCTAGTGCTTCAAACAGGTGGGATAAACTCTAGAATGGCGTGGCATTAGGATCTCGATAATGGTAATGCTGGCAAGCAATCGGTAGAAAGCAACACGGATGGGTGGTCCGTGAGGCGCGCGACGTCGTGAGTTGAAAGCGACATGCTACACGAACCTATCTCGAGTCTATGTGCACAATAATATCGTAGGCTGCAAGCCAAACGGACGTAAAACCAATAATAACCGTATGTTTAAACACCTCTATTGCTTGTGACATAACGCCTGTTGTGCAATACCAGCAATTTTTTTATACGCTCTTTTGTCTGAAACGCAAGATATAGTTTTAAGATGAGCGCTTGAAATTGGCATTGTCGGTACAGACGACAGCTTGTCAAGCTAAACACAGTGACATCTTACGCAGTTGTAACAGGGGTGATTTTGCAATATTAATGTAGGCATCTATCTGGTCTGTACATTGAACACGAATTGTTTGTAGTAAAGATGTAAAAATGGAGACATTTATTTAAGTTGAAAAACTTTTTTTCATTAATTAAGCCTGATTTTCAACCGCCAGAATACTTTTATCTACAAATTATAATTGATATATTTACAGTTTTTGTAATAGAAAATAGGCAGGTGCGTCAACTTTATTATTCGTTACAAGTTTTGTATCTAACAATGAATTGGAAAATCGGTCCTCAATTCTAATTCATTGAGTAACTTATTACGATCACTTCTAATTAAATTATCCAAGTAGGTTCTAATTTGACTGTACGTATTCAATGTTTAAATTAGTGTCTCACCAACGCTGTATTTAATGTCTCTAATTAAGAATGAAAAGATTATGGTGCTTAAACGAAACATCAAACAAAATTAAAGAGAAAAGTGAAATTTTGTTCATTCCACAAGGGACATAGCGTGATGATAAGTGGGCAGCTATGATAATTGGCCAGCAGTGCCCACTTTCAATAAACCACAGCACTTGGTTTCTCCGAATGAATATTAATTTTTCTTTTATCTTAAGTATGTTAACATGGCTTAATTTTATTGATACGGGCGCTGTTTGTTATTTTTGAATAGATAGGAATTTGATTACTCACCGATTTCTTATAAATTATCGTTCGTCTTATCATCAATCAGATTGTTTAATTATTTTTGTAATTTAATCGATATCATACTTGATGATAACGATAACGATATAGGTAACTACCCGAATGCCTACTGTTCTAATGGTTTTCTTGAAACATTCGTGAATGTAAGCCAAATCCGAAGTAAAACATTCGATTGTTGACAGGATTAATTTTGAAACCGATCTCTTTTCAAGATCCACTTTATGTGTGCTGGGAACAACATCAAACTAGACTTGAACAATAAAATTTGGTTACATGCTAAGTGCAAACTTAATTATACAACTGATGTATTATCAGATACATATTACACCATTACTATTTTGCAATTCAAATCAACACAATCGACTGAGATCTATTTTATTTACTGCTAATATTGGAATAACAATCCATGTTATGTACTATCATACGTGTCATGTAATCTAATTTACACGTCAGCCGATCAATTAGCATTATTAAGCAATGAAGTGAATACTAAATACACATTATACAAACTATTAACAACTGTAGAATACAACTATTCTACTACTGTTAAGCATTGTTAGTTTTGCCTGGCTCATTCCCATTTTATTTGGGGTCAGCCCTCCGTATCAAGTGTCTCCAGTCGGCTCGGTCCTAAGTCGTCTCTCTGTTGACTTGGGCCTCTTTAAGGTCCTTATTAACTACGGACAATGTCCGGATGTCCGTCGGACATCCATGCGATTCAAGGTCTTCCTCGTCCTCGGGGTTTAGTTTCTATGTCTAGCACTTTTCTGGTCATATGGTCGGGTGGTCGCCTCATAACACTACTACTCTTCAGCATTATTAAGTTTTATTCTAACAGTAAACAAACGATATGCTAGTTAATTTCCTGGTCAGAAATCTTAAAGCGTGTACGTGATGTGATGCATCATTAATAAGTCAATTAACATTTACAATAAGAATTAGTGCTTAAGTAATAAGATTCAGTGTGCCTACCATGAGTTTACGTTAGGTGAGCTCGCTAGCGAATACGTCAAAAAATTCTATGAAGATTTTATTTCTTGAAAGTAGCCGCTAGGGGCGCTGCACAATATGTCATACATTTAAATGTCATTTTTTTACGCAGTCGCTAGCGAGCACACCTAACGTAAACTCATGGTAGGCACACAGTTCTTGAAGATTCTATGGAGCTAAGATTGCGTGAGAAAATTTTCCCTTTTGTACCCTTTGCACCACCGGCCTGCACCACTGGTGGTGCAAAGGGTATTTTTAAATCCCTCTTGCACCACCAACAAATAGTGCTGTGCTACCATCGACTGTAAAACTAGTAGTAGACTGTAAAATACTTAATAATTTAATTGTTATAAATGAATCAAAACCTACCTAAAAGTTTTAATTTGTGTGTGTGTAAGTGCCTATAAACATTTCACTTCAGACCCACGATACCCCGGGCCTACATCCTACATACAACGAATAAAGTACCAGGGCAACATAACCATAAAGGAGCTATTTTATGATACATGTTTATTTCTCGGGTCAACCAAGAAGAATTTGATATAGCTCCTTTATGATTATGTTGCCCTGGTACTTTAGGAATATTATTCGTTGTTGTAGGTATGAATGGTTGTTATTAATTTTTATGTTATGTTGTCAAATCTGTCCAGTAATTTCGGAGCCTATTCAGTACAAACAAACTATCAAATCTTTCCTCTTTATATAATATTAATATTATATGATTATAGATAATCGTTTTACAGTTAGTGGTAGGGCGGCACTATTGGTGGTGCAAAAGGGATTAAAAAATACCCTTTGCACCACCAGTGGTGCAGGCCGGTGGTGCAAAGGGTACAAAAGGAAATTTTCCATCCACACTTTCGTCTGCAAATAAAAACTCCATGTTGAGACTTATTGATGAAGCAATTATACGAGTAAGATGGCAACCGTAATTAGAAAATTATCAAGTAATACGGCTTTTGATTCCAACATTCGTTCGTTCGTTTCTGCGAAATGACGTCTACTGCTGGACAAAGGCCTCCCCCAAGGATTTCCACAAAGACCGGTCCTGCGCTGCCCGCATCCAGGCAGCTCTCGCGACCTTCACCAGATCATCGGTCCACCTAGTGGGAGGCCTGCCCACCGCGGCGTAACCTGAGACGTGGTCGTCGCTTACTATGGGATTCCAACATTATTGAGGAAAAAATTAGAGACTATAATCCGGTGGTCCTATTGATCATATAAGACGCCTATCGCGGGTCATGAAGTCTGACACTAGAGTTAACCTTAAGAGTCGTTACAACCCACACGTAAAGATGCTGCTATAACTTTGACATCGTTCGTTCGTTTCAGCCAAATGACGTCCACTGCTGGACAAAGGCCTCCTCCAAGGCTTTCCACAATGCACGGTCCTGCGCTGCCCGCATCCAGGCTCTTCCCGCGACCTTTACGAGATCGTCGGTCCACCTAGTAGGAGGCCTGCCCACGCTACGTCTTCCAGCCCGTGGTCGCCACTCGAGAACTTTTCTGCCCCAACGGCCATCGTCTCTACGAGCTATGTGCCCCTATATGTAACTTTGACATGCCTGACGCCTTTATGTAGGCAATTTTCTATTTGACACTCAACTAAGGTTGTATGTATTTTGCAGAATATCTACCTACATATACGTTATTTCATTATATATTAGTTTATGGTGCGGGGTTTATAGCAAACCATACATGTTGTGATGTTTGAAGTACCTACTTAGGTACTTACAAACTGATTTCATCAATAACACGTCATTGTGACTGAGTGATACATAGAGTTTCTTGCGCTTCTTCTCAGCACTGGCCCATTTTTTTTTTATGCTAGACAAGGCAGGTATTTGACCGCAAACGCACCTGGTGTTAAGTGAGATGCAGTCTAGGATGGTTTTACTGTCCCGAACCGAAGCAGTGGTAGGGTTTGTACTGGGACGTGTAAAAGTGTTTTTTAAAAGCCTATTTGCAAAAAATCTATGAGTTT